AAAAATAAAATAAAATAAAATAATAATAATAATAATAATAATAATAATAATAATCTTCCCTTCTTACTGAAAGCATCTGTTCAGATCTGGGTTTACCAGTCATCACAGCTCTACCCCCTACACCCTGAACCCCCAGTCTAAGCACAGAACTGAACAATGAAACTATACAGGGGTGCTCGCTTGACAGAACTTTGCTTAGACAGAAATTTTCTATGTTCTCCAGCCAGCAAAACCATATCCCATTTTGGAGTAACTGTGACAAATTGCTCAAAGCCCAGAAATTGCTGCAGGAACCAGGACCCCATCCTCCAAAAATGAAAGCTGGGAGTGCAAGGCAAAGAGGAAGAGGCTCTGAGTCAAGAGGGGAGCGAAGCCTCTTCATTCAGAAACAGGCAGTCCACCTCTGATGTTTTGTGGGGGAGGCGCACAGAAGATGGCATCCATTTCCTTCCTCCTGCTCTTCCTTCCCTCCCTCCCTGTGACTTCGCAGGTTCTTCCCAGGCAGAAACACTGTTCTTGTTGCTCCTTTGCATAATCTTAATCTATTGTTTGTAGCCGATGGTCATTACAATATAAATGCTCAAAACCTCTTTGTCGATATAATGCACAAAGCATGAAAAGCAACCTTTATATATGTATTTTATATTAAACTCTCCTTAATCATCATGACATAGATAAGCTGCTGTTACCCTTACAGAGCCTCGCACAAAAAGGGTGCCTGAACAGAGGAAAACTTTATTTGTACCTGCCGGCAGTCAACTGATTTGACATTCATCAGAGAAAAGCAACTCAGTCTGAAACGGAGAGATAAATTTGACCCTGGGCAACACGCACCATGGACCAGATGAAATGTAATGGTGGGAGCAGCTTCTGCAGCACCATCAGCGGCATCTTCTCTTTCCAGGGGTCTCAATGGCAGCCCAAGGGAAACCACATTCCAAATTGGCATGCCCAGAGGCCCTTTCATGGATCACTGCCTTGCTGTGGCAAAGAGGCTTGTGCAGCGCAATTGAGCTATGCCATGTAGGGGCACCCAAGATGGACAAGACATAGCAGAGAGCTCTGACAAAAACTGATCCACTGGAGAAGGAAATGGCAACCCACTCCAGTACCCTTGCCATGAAAACCCCATGGACAGTACCAAAGGGCAAAACGATACGACGCCGGAAGATGAGCCCCTCAGGTCAGAAGGTGTCCAATATGCTACTGGGGAAGAGCGGAGGGCTAGTACTAGTAGCGCCAGAAAGAGTGAAGCAACTGGGTCAAAACCGAAAGGACACTCAGTTGTGGATGTATCTGGTAGTGAAAGGTAAGTTTGATGCTGTAAAGAGCAATATTCCATAGGAACCTGGAATGTAAGACCTATGAATCAAGGCAAGCTGGACGTGTTCAAACATGAGATGACAAGACTGAACATCAACATCTTGGAAATCACCCAACCAAAATGGACAGGAATGGGTGAATTCAATTCGTATGACCATCAAGTATACTACTGCAGGCAAGAATCCCTCAGAAGAAATGGAGTTATAAAGGGAATGTTTCATGCAAAGATGGGCATGATAAAGGACCAAAATGGCAGGGACCTAACAGAGGTAGAAGAGATTAAGAGGTGACAAGATTACCCAAAAGAGCTTAACATCCCTGATAACCACGATGGGGTGGTCACTGACCTCGAGCCTGACATCCTGGAATGCGAAGTCAAATGGGCCTTAGGAAGTCTGAGCAACATCAAAGCTAGTGCAGGCGACAGTATTCCAGCTGAGCTATTCAAAAGCTTAAAAGAGGGTGCAGTAAAACTGCTACACTCAATATGCCAGCAAATTTGGAAAACGCAACAGTGGCCACAGGATTGGAAAAGGTCAGCTTACATTCCAATCCCAAAGAAGGGCAATGCCAAGGAATGTTCAAACTACCACACCATTGCACTCATTTCACACACTAGCAAAGTTTTGCTCCAAATCCTACAAGCTACACTCCAGCAGTATGCGGACCGAGAACTACCAGAAGTACAGGCAGGATTTCGAAGAGGGAGAGGAACTAGAGATCAAATGGCCAACATACGCTGGATCATGGAGAAAGCTAGGGAGTTCCAGAAAAATGTCTACTTCTGCTTGATTGACTACGCTAAAGCCTTTGATTGTGTGGATCACAACAAATTGTGGCAAGTCCTTAAAGAGACGGGAGTACCAGACCATCTTATTTGTCTCTGGAGAAACCTGTATGCGGGTCAAGAAGCAACAGTGAGAACTGGGCACGGAACCACTGATTGGTTCAAAATTGAGAAAGGAGTTCGGCAAGGCTGTATATTGTCGCCCTGCCTATTTAATTTATACGCAGAGCACATCATGAGAAAGGCAGGGCTAGATGAATCACCAGTTGGAATTAAGATAGTAAAGAATATCAACAACCTCAGATATGCAGATGATACCACTCTCATGGCAGAAAGTGAAGAGGAACTAAAGAGCCTCTTGATGCGGGTGAAGGAGGAGAGCACAAAAGTTGGCTTGAAACTCAATATTAAGAAAATGAAGATCATGGCATCTGGTCCTCACTTCCTGGCAGATAGATGGGGAAGAAATGGAGGTCGTGACAGATTTTATTTTCCTGAGCTCCAAGATCACCACAGACAGGGACTGCAGCCAAGAAATTAAAGACACTTGCTCCTGGGGAGGAAAGCTATGGCTAATCTAGACAGCATACTAAAAAGCAGAGACATCGCCCTGCCAACAAAAGTGCGAATAGGCAAGACTATGGTTTTCCCAGTGCCAGTGTATGGCTGTGAAAGCTGGATTACAAGGCTGTGTGCGAAAGAATTGAGGCCTTTGAATTGTGGTAGTGGTGAAGACTCCTGCGATTCCCTTGGACTGCAAGGATATCAAACCAGCCAGGCTTAGAGGAGATCAACCCTGACTGTTCCTCAGAAGGGCAGTTACTGAAGCTGAAGCTCAAATACTTTGACCACCTAATGAGAAGGAAAGACTCACTGGAGAACAGCCTAATTCTGGGAACAATAGATGCCAAAAAGAGAAGGGGGTGGCAGAGGATGAGGTGACTGGATGTGGTTACTGAAGCAGTCGACATGAGCTAAGGGGGACTCTGGGGATGGTGGAGGACAGGAAGGCCTGAAGGAATGTTGTCCATAGGGTCACTATGGGTTGGACGCGACTTCACAACGAGCAACAACAAATTCATACCATTCTGATATTTTCTATTTGCTGTGGTTCATAAACCATTTTTGTAACTTTTATTCACATTCAAACTGGTTCGAGGCACCATGAATCCTCTCCTTTGACCCTCAAGCTGGGGTTATGCTGACTTTTCAACAACAGTTCACACGAAGTTCGTCTCACCGGTGCTCATCTCCTTTTGCCCAAGAGCTGGAAGTCAAACATGGCTGCAGTGTTCTCATTACTCTGTGCTACACTACCAGTGCGCTCTCATTAGAATTAGGTTCAGTAATAACAAGTAAAATCACTGTGTCTGCAAAAGGACACGGCTCTCAGAGAACGTATTGCTAAAGGACACGGCTCTCAGAGAACGTATTGCTAAAGGACACGGCTCTCAGAGAACGTATTGCTAAAGGACATGGCTCTCAGAGAACGTATTGCTAGGAGTCATGGGAAGGTGGGAGCCCTTTGAGAAAATGGGGTTGTGGGCTCTTGCCTGTCCACAAGATGGCCCCACACAGAGCTCCCCATCAGAACCTGCCTTCGGAAAGATTCCTTATAGCCCCAGATGTGCACTTGGCCGCAGTGCTAAAAGCCGATCCCAAGCTGCATGATGTTAGCATGCTGTTTGCAGTGCTTTATAGCTTCATGCCCAACACTCAGTCAAGAGGAAGGCAAGATACAGGGGGCAGCACGGCACTTCTGAGAAGATCACTCAGTGTGGAAAACCTCTCTCCCAATTCCCTGCAACCACCTTCTCAAATGGACTCCAGTGCTACTGTGTGAGCTGTGGGTCAAAATCTCCCTAGGATGCTGAGTGGATGTCCTGGGAGACATTTTCCGAGGCGCACTTTCCTGTGTCACATACTCGAAGGTGCCCTACCTGGAGCTGTCCTTAATGTCAATTTCCAAACTTCCACTAAGACCAGGATGTTTATTGGCCAGCACTGGAATAGCACCAAAGAGACCCAAATTGAAACCCCTACTCAGCTGTGAAACTCAGCGGATGACCTGGGTAGGGACTATCGATCAGCATAGCCTACCACACAGGTTTGTTACAAGGGTCAAATGGTGTGGGGTGAACCAGATTCACTGGCCAGAGCACTCGACTGATTCCTGCTGTACCTGAAATTATTTTTGGATTGTTCTGAAAGCTTTTGGTTGCTTTTTGGTAGTTTTGTAAAATTCAGGTTTTTATTTATTTATTTATTAATTAAAACATTTTTATGCCGCCCCAGTTTTTTGCCGCAGTGAACCCAAGGCAGCTTATATGATGCTCCTGCTCTCCGTAACAACCCTGGCAGATATGTTCTATTAGTGAGCTAGACCGCTGGGCAAGGACTAGAATTGGATGATCCACATCCAATTCCAGGACTCTGACCACTGCATTGCCCCGCCTGCTCTCACGATTGCTTTCCTGCTCTCTTTGTCCTTGAAGTATCTGATCACATGCAGAAAAATTCAGACAGTTTTTCTAAATTATCAGTTAGCTTAATTCCTTTCTGAGCCAGCTGTCTGCACTGCCCTGCAATACAGGCGAGAGGCAGAAATTTACTACGATTCTGAAACCTGGGGAGAATTCAAGGTGAGTTGAGGCAGTCATTTCCTCCACAGAAATATTACAGGAAAAGGAAGAAAGATTTAGCTCCCTCCCAGCCTTTCTGGTTTTTTCCCCTTCAGCAACCCTTCCTGTTCCTGACACAGCAAGGGGAGACCCCCCCAAGGGGAGAGCAACTGCTCCACTCAGCTCCGCAAGGAAGAGACACTTGCTTTCTTTCCGGAAGAAAACAGATACAGAAATGCAACCATCCCATTTTAAGCATTTTTAACATTTATTTTTTAAAAAATACACTGACCAGATCGATTCCCGTTTCCTTCTCCCTTCGCACAGCCTCCATGCCATTTTTGTGTCCAAAGGTATTGTGAAGAATAAAGCCAGTTATCCGATCATTTTCTCCTCTTACGAAGGGTTCCATGAGATCATCTCACGTGCTACTCTTCTGCAAAGTAGCAGACAGGGGTTTTGTTGATGTTTCTGCAGCAGCTGATGTTTCTTGGTTCTCTCAACATCCTGAATCAGCTGCTTGAAACGCAAAACCTGCTCCAAGCCTGATCGTTCTTCTGCAGCGGCCTGAGCTGGTAAGAAGGGCTTTTCTCTCCCTTTGGAACAGGGAACATCTGTTGGGATGCATCCAGTTATAAACACAGCCGCTCAGTTGCTGTTATGCGGACCGGCTCCCCTGCTCAGGTCAGTTACTTGTCAAGAGAAACAGCTACCATGGATTATGGATGATCAAGGATGTGCTTTTTCCACAGGATTGTATCACCAGGTCTTCCAAGCAGGAACTATTGAAACCACCTGAACCTGCCTCTAGTTACTGCTCTGGGGTGCCCCACTTCAGGCCCCAGAGCTCACTCTTCCTCCTGCGTGAACCAGGGGCCCGGTCTATTACTGCTGCCTCTCGCCTGTTCAGCATCTCAGCCCTTAAATCTCCTTAAATCTCTCCTTACCTCTCACCCTGTCTCAGTATTTCCACTTTGTCTATCGGTTCATCTATTACATTCCCGTACCTCCCGATAGCCGAAGCTTTCTGAGCACACCACCAGGGCCCTGGTGTTATTGTGTGTTGCTGAATTTGTGCAGTGGGCAGAAGGTGGCGCCAGAGTACTAGGCATGGCAGACTCGTTTTTTGGAGACACAGCACAAATCTGGCATTTGGCTCAACGGGAGACTGAGGTGACCTCAGACACATTTAGATTTCAAAAGCGCGCACAGAGCTGCTTGATATTCAGAAAGAAATCTGAGGATACAAAAAAAACTTGCTATAAAAAGAGTTATTATTTTTTAAAAAAAGTTCCAGGGGAAGAAAGCAACAATGAAGACAGAAATGGGCAAAGACTCCTTGACAAAACTGCCTCTTGCAGGTTCTCCAATGCCACAGTCACAGTTCTGAAAAGGTCTGCATGACCTCTAGACTTTCTTTGCTAGTAGCATTTGGCCTTATCCCAGGGACCTTGTTCTAACCTATTTCATGAGATGCTGGGACACTAGCAAGATGGGGATCCAGAAGTTCGTTTAACAGCCAAGACGCCATCCCTCTGTCAAGGCAGAGTCATGAGTTGTCGGCAGTCCTTTCCTCCCCACAAGATGAGGTCTGCATTCTGCAGCGCTTGCGACATTCCAGCCCGCCGTCTCGACAGAGCAGAGCTCGCCATTGTGTTTGTGGGTGGCAAGGCGGCTGTGTGGTGGGACTCTTGGCAGAGTCGAGCAGCAGCAGCAGCACCAACCCTGAACACTTTCCCAGGAGGGAAAAACGCTGCAATTGTTACACCTGGCAGATGTTACAGTTTGTTGGCTGGGATGAAACGTCTCCGGTAACTTCCATCACACGGTCCTTGGAGTGGAAGCGGGATGCTTCAACCACAGTCGGCTTGTTTCCGCTGCTCTCAGGGTCCTGCTTGGGACAGGGAGAGAAAAAGGAATGGACATACAGCTGTGCTGAAACTTCTCCCTGCCTCAACCGGCCTGCCGCTGTTGCAGTTTTAAGCCCTGCTGAGCTGCCGTCCACACATACCTCAGGCGGTTTTGGAGCAAAATCTTCCCGGCAGACGTGCGCAATGATCCCTGCTGCCAGCGCGTCACCCAGGACATTGGTCATAGTGCGCAGTCGGTCCCTAGATTAAGGAAGCACAGAGATCCAGTGGAAGGCCGCATGAATGCAGAAAGATTCAGGTGGCAGGTGAGGCATGCGAATGTGCTGCTCTGCACCTGTCCGTGCTGCTCCCTGACAGAGAAGAGTGCAACTTGCACGGGCTGCTCTCTCATCTGCTGCATGGGGGCTCTTCTGCCATATTTCTGGAAGCCAGGCTCTTCCTGTTTTTGCTTAAGTGACACCGGACCACGAAAATGGGCACACAGACCACCCACTAAGTGCTCGCCTGGCTGTGAATTTAAAGTCTTTCTCCCATGAAGCTTCCCATTAGCAAGGGGCCCCAGGAGATCGCATCTACAACGTTTTCACTAAGGGCCACGTGTAGCGGTGCCCACCTCCCCAACACCTAGGTTTCTGGTTAGCACGCTTTGATTCCTGTCCAGGCCCTGCGACCCCCGTGCCAGAACACCCACACAGGAAGAGAGGAGCGAGGGGACAACTCACAGGGCCCAGTCAACGGCAACGATCAGAGTGATGTCTTCCGTGGGAAGGCCGACGGAGGTTAGCACGATCACCATCGTGACAAGACCTGACTGGGGAATCCCGGCTGCCCCAATGCTGGCTGCTGTGGCTGTGATGCTGTGGGAGGAGAGAGACCAGAATGCTGTTGCCGTGGCGAAGGGACTTCCACCTGCCATGGCTGTCCAATGGAAGAATGCCAGAAGCTTCCCCTTTGGGCTGATGCTTTTTAGACTGGGGAGGGGAAAGGAGAGGGGATTTACCTGACGGTTATGATCTGCCCCAAATCCAAGTCATATTCATTGACCTGTGCAATAAATATGGCGGCCACTGCCTCATAGAGGGCAGTTCCATCCATGTTGATGGTTGCGCCAACCGGAAGGACGAACCGCGCGATCCGCCGGTCGATCCCGTTGTTTTCTAGAAGACACTTCAGGGTGATGGGCAGAGTGGCGGAGCTGCGGGGGGAAAAGCCACACTTGTTCATCGGGGAGGATGTTCCGATGTGCAGCTGCGGGCGTGGGGGGGATGCCTCTTTCCTAAGGAGAGGCAGTGTGGCGTAGTGGTTAAGAGCATGGGACTGGGACTCAGACGACCTAGGTTCTAGTCCCTGCTCAGCCAAGGAGCCAACTGGGTGACTTTGGGCCAGTCACGGACTCTCAGCCCAACCCACCTCACAGGGTTGTTGTTGGGGGATAAGATGGAGGAGGAGAAGGATGTCAGCTGCCTTGAGCCCCTTGAAGGAAAAAGGCAGGCTATAAATTGAAAAATAAATAAAAAATAAAAAATAAATCATAGTGGTGCAGGTGCCGAACGTCACTTAGGACACACTTCACCGAGGCTGTGCGTCTGCTCAAGGAGCGTGATCGACAGGAGCTAGTTTTTAAGACTCTGCATTTAGTTCCTGGGGAAATTCTGGTTTCCCACCAGCTCACTGTCCACTCCGGGGTCCCCTCTGGATCCGAGCAGGATGCTCAAGGCAGGAACCTGGATTCCAGCAAGACAAAAGAAGGCCAGAGAGAGGCCCAGTAGTCCTTGAGGGCTGGAATTCTCTCCTAGCCTGGTCAGCTCGGTGCTTCCTAAGGAACTTCCTGGGCTGCTGAAGGCCCTCTCCTGAGGCTTCCACAAGGCCGGAGAGAGGAAGAGTCCCCTTGAGCCAGAGAACCATGGTAGGGCTGCAGCCCTGCACAACTGTTTGGTTCCCAGAATAGCCTGGCTCTTGTCCACCGCCGCACCCTGGAAAGCTCAAGGGCTTGGTGGGGGAATTCATCCCTGCCTCGCCGCATTCATGCTGCAGCTAGGCACGCTACGCTCAGCCAATAGTATTGTAATTTACCATCCGATAGTATTGCAACTTACCCAGCCAATAGCATTGTACTTCACCTGTGGAACCATATAAGGCTTGTGACCATATATAGCAATAAGTACGCTTCCTGTTTCCTGCGCATAAGCAATCAGTAAGCATTTTGAATCCTGCGCTTGCGCACAATGATTAGGGAGTTGGCTGATTAACTCGATGGCGATTGGTGTAGGCAAGTACAAATGTAACAATCTGTGAAATAATAAAAAGGGGCTGCCGGTGGTGAGGAAGGAGGACATCTTTAAGAGGACATTCTAGGAAGAATTCCTAAAGAAGAACTTCTTTGTTCTCCGGAGTACTCAACCGAGCATGCTTTGAAACTTTCTCTCTCGTCTGCAGTGTTTTATTTCTCTCTCTGAACTCTCTCGCGCCGATTGTCGGAGTAGGCACTCCGACAGCTTGGGGTCACAACGGGTCATGAGCGGTTTGTGGTGGCAAGGGCCTGTGCCGAGGGGTCACGTGCAATACCGGCGGTGCCCTGAGCCGGGCGATGCATGAGCATTGCCCGTATCGCCTACCTGGACGAGGTTGCCAGCGCAATCAGCAGGGCTTGGAGGATGCCCCGCATGAAAGAGAAAGGGTTCTTCTTGGTAATGAGCACAAACAACAGAGGCAGAAAGCACAGGCTATGGATGGCCAAGCCAGTCACCACCGTCATCGCATAGAGGCCCAGTTTCTTCCCGATCACGGAGGGGTCTTCCATCTCCAAAATCTTCCCAGCAATCAAGAAGACAATACCAAAAGGAAAGTACCTGACAATCACAAGATCCAGGTGAGCACTACAGGGCTCCTCTCCCCAGAATCAGAGAGTCTGGTGGCGGGAGAGGAAGAGGGGGCAAATGGGCATCCACACAGAGGTGAAAAAGGAAGAGGTGCTGGGCTGATGAGGGGAAGCCTGCAACATCCCAGTTCCCGGTTCTCTATTTGCACATAAGTTTGAGACGTAACTGTTAAAGTCACTGCAAAGTGAGCAGAGCAGTTGTGAAGCAAGGCAAGGGGACTGGCAATGCTTAGAATCCCACCGAAAGCCTGCACAAAGTGGGGGCCGCCAGAGGCCCCAGCGATTCAGCATGGCCTCCTCTCTGGCCTTTCCCTTCCATTAGTCCCTGGCAACTGGCAGGCCAGCATTGCATGTGGGGGCACCACTTCCTATCAATCATGATTCTGGACGGGAGCTGGACTGGCCCTTCCCCACCAAAGCACAACCCCCTTTCAAAGCCCTCGTGGCCACTGCCGTAACAACTTCCTCATGCAGGACATTTCAGCCAGTCATTCACTCAGGAGGCTTCTATCCCACTGTTCCGCTCAGGTCTTCCAGGTAGCTGCCAGTCATTCCAAACCATAGCCACCACACGACCCCATGCTCAAGAAAGAATGTGCAGCCCCACAAGTGGCTGTGCTGAACCAGGGCCACCTCTAACAGCCCTGGGTGGGCCAGCTTGATGTCCCACCAACCAGCCCCTGCCCCCCGCCCCCCGTTTTCCTTCTTCCCACAGGGTAGTTGATGTTACGTAGGGCACTGGGGTGGGGGGGGCCAGTCAAACTGGCACAGGCCCGGACAGCCTCTGTACGCTCCAAAGTCCCATGAAGGGCGCAGCCTTACAGAGATGCCTCCAAGCCCAGACTTGGAGGCCTGTGGTCACCCTCTGCAGAGCAGGTGGAGCATCAGGGGCAGCATGCCCCTCCCCACCCGCCCAAACTGCGGATTTGGCTACAGGGCCTTTTGCACGACTAACAAGGGTGCTTTGGAGAAGCGGTGGGAAGGCCAGAGAGGCTTCAGAATAAGGCACATCCTGGCCCCATTCTCCACCTCTCTGTGGTTGCTTTCTGAGCTCCAAAGCACAGCTGATGCCCAGGGACTAAGGCTTCGATTCTCAGCTCCAGGGCCAGAGTGCTGCCTCCAGGCTCAGAGCTGGGAATCTGAAGCCCTTGCCTTCATCCATTTGGAATCTGCTGCCCATCCGTCTCGCCAGATAGCTTCTCACAACAGCGACCAAAGAGGGCATCCTCTGGGCACCATCTACTGGTAGCAGGTGGCTCTTCTGGAGGGGCTGGGGTGTAGGGAAGAGCTACGTTTCCTTATGTTATCTGGAAAAGGATGGGGCAGAAGAAAGCAAACTGGTTCTGCAAACCACCCTCTGGCTGGCCACTGTGCCTCGTGTGTTCTCCGGCTGATTTTACTTTATTTATTTATTAAAACATTTTTATGCCGACAGTCCGAACACTTCAATTGGTGCAAAATAGAGCTGCCAGGTTGCTGACGGGGACGGGGCGTTATGCTCACATGACTCCAGTCCTCCGTCAGCTTCACTGGCTTCCCATTGAAGCCCGGGCCCAATTCAAGGTGTTGATTATGACCTACAAAGCCCTAAACGGCTTGGGTCCTGGCTACCTGAACGAGCGCTTACGTCCGTATATGCCCGACCGCCCTTTGAGATCTGCGGGAGAGTCCCTTCTCCGGGAACCCTCCATGAAAGAAATTAGGAGAGTAAGTACCCAGAGGAGGGCTTTCTCTGCGGTGGCGCCCAACCTATGGAATTCACTCCCCAAAGAGGTCCGCCTGGCACCGTCGTTACTGGTTTTTCGGCGCCAGGTAAAGACCTTTTTATTTAAACATCATTTCAATTGTTAAAACATATGATCTGGCCTGGGCAATTTCTTCTTCCTTCTCTTTCTCCTCCTATATTTTTATTTTATACTGATAATTTTAATTTTGTATTTGTAAATCAATGTATTTTTTGTATTTTTATATTTAATGGTAATTTATGATGTACTATTGTATTTCAATGTATTTTATCATGTTGTAAGCCGCCCCGAGGTTTCGGCAAGGGGCGGCATAGAAATGTTATAATAATAATAATAATTCGCCGAAGCCTCGGGGCGGCTTACAACATGATGCCTCCAGCAATCCCAGGTCTACTGGGAAAACTAAATGCTGCAGACACCATGCAGACACAAGGCTTCCATGGCCACGAAAAGTGCCTCTGTGTTCTGCCTTGATGCTACCTGAGGGTGCTTCTCTGCAAGGTGTCTTTCTTATTTATTTAGCAAGTCTTCTTGCAGCAGGGGGTCGCCCAGCCAGCACCGGACTTACCAAACGGCCACGGCCACGATCTTCATCACCGCCTCGTTCAGGCACTGGCACACGTTCACCAAGGGTGCCCCGCGCTCGCCCATCTTCCCCAAGAGAAGGCCTGCAAGCAGAAATGGTTGCCCTTCAATGGATCCCAACAGGAGATGGAGAACAATAAACGGAAGCTGTTAAGACACAGAAAGTCTATAATGCCATTTCAGGATGACTGGAAAAACGGTGTTTTACGGTGCACGAGCACAGCCTTTCTGAAAAGCTGCACATACCAGTATTAGGGTTGCTCATTTATTTATACTGCTCTCATACAGCTCTTCCGCCAAAAAAAAAAAAAAAAAAAGAAATGAAGATTCCCAGAGTGGTTTACAAAAATTAATGATAAAATAATTCTTTTTCCCAGGCTTATCTATCAAAAGTTATGATAGAAAAGGAAAAGGGATCAAGAGGCAGGAGGGAAGGGGCATGAAGTTGCAATCTATCACAGGTTCGAGACACCTGGTGTTTGCACATAACGATCCATTTTGGGGGAATAAAGTATTTCTTCTTTTGTAAATGTTTGAAAAGGACAGATTAATATAGAACTAACTAACTAACTAAAAACATGGCGTCACACGACCTCCTTCTGTAGAGAGGAAAACGGCGCAGCTCAAGACATCTTCATGAAATCTGCCTGTGTGGGGGACACTCCCAATCAGGGGTTCATTGTGTACCGATTGTGGCTGAGAAGATCACTATTCCCAGGACATTCATTTCATTGTTGCTGCCGGGGAGGGTCCGGTAGGTCATTTCTGGGGACGGTGTGATCTCAAGGAGCACTGGCTGCTGAATCCCTGGGTTTCTGGTGTCTGGCACAAAGTAAATGAAACTCAGAGGTTTCCTTGGCATCTTTGGGACCCCCGAGGACTTCACCACAGGGACGAGAACTGTCCGGTACTAGAAGCAAAGCAGAGTTTAAATCTGGAGGCAAATTTCTCACTGTTCCAAAGGTTATTTCATTGTTCTTTGCATCACTCCTATGCAAGTTTAGACAGATAAAGGCCAACTGGCTGGGATGTGCTGGGAGCTATAGGTCTTGTGAAACGTTCACAGTGTGGTGTCTTAACACTCAAGATCTGTCCAGTCACACAGGGAGAGGTTGTAGTATAAGGTGCAATCCTGTGCAAGTTTCAACAGAAAAAAGGGCTACAGCCCCCAGCATGCCGTGACCAGCACTGCTGGGAGCCACAGGCCTTTTTTTCCCCCAAGCTTGCAGAGGATTGCCCTGTTGACTCACTGGAATATTTCTAAAAGCTGCATTTCTAGGCCAAGCCTATCCAAGCTGTTGAACAAAATACAGTCAGATTCAAAATCCACGACCACCTGTAAGAAAGGATGGCCCCCTATCAGATTCTCTCTCAGCCCAGCTTAGCCTGAGCGGCTCTACTGCATTTTCAGTCTGGCAAGGCCAATTCTGCATTCAGTAGCAAGAAAGCAAATGCCACCAGAGGGCACTCGGTTGCATGAACTGTGGCTGGAAGGGACCAACTGCCTTCAGGGAGCCTCAGTTCCATCCCCCCCGCCCCCCCCCCCCCCCGCTTACTGCAGGCATGCAAAAAAGCGGCTTCTGCCTTCCCTGTCTTCCTTTATATGTGATTTATTTATTCATTTATTTAATGAATTTCTATGCCACCTGATTAGCCATGGGCTCTCTGGGCAGCTTACACGCACGCAATACAATAAAATCACATTCGAATAAAAACAATAATATCATTAAGTCAATAATGATAAAAATAATGACTAAGATAAACAATTTAAATATGTAAAATAACTAAATAATAGATTGATCACCAATAACCTAAAAACCAAGAAAAAATGAGACCCAGACTCAGCCAAAAACCACGTTCATGAATTTGTACAAAATTCACAGGGATGGAAAACATCTCTCTACAAGGAAAAACCCACAGCCCAGTGGAAGAGGCCCTGCCGGCATGGCTGGGAAAGGCCCTGATCTGGCAGCCACTGCTGCCAGTCTGTGCTGACAATACTGGCTTACAAGGGCCCAGGGTCCAATTCATATAATGCTCCTGCATCAGTAGTGGAAACTGTCTTCTTCCTGAATCCGGCCTCAGAGACCTCCCTGGGAGCCTGCATCCCGATCGCAGGCATTTCCCAAGGTACGTGGGGGGGGGGGGGGGGGGATTCAAGAGCAGCCAAATTTTAGCTGAAGTTTTTACTGCATGTAATTCTTTAGGAAGGGATGAAGGAGGACATGCAAAGGCTGTAGAAATGCCAAATGTCCAGTGGCCAGAGAAAGGCCATCCTGGAAGCCCTGGAGGGCTGGATGAGATGCCCGCATCTGAGGCTCCCTACCGCTGCGACGTTGGCATCAGCCAACGCTCCCCAGTATAGTGCACAAGAGTCTGGACCCCACAGAGTGCTTGCTCAGACTGTGCAATATGAAGGCAGGAACACAGATGCAACTTGCCCAGGGGCCTCGGAGTATCTAAACTTGCTCACTCCCAGGCTGAAACTCGGGAGCCGAGGAGGGAGAAAGTTGGCCTGGGAGCAGGTCAGGGTTCTGTGCCATGCCAGCTGCTTACCTGCTGGAATGATGCCTCAATGAGATTGGATGGGAACATATTCCTGCAAGAGACAAAATGACATTGAACTCTGGAGGCTGCACAGAGCCCATGGGAAAGTCATTGAGGACATTTAATAGCTCTGGCTTGCAAGAGGGAGGTATGTCCTCCGTCAGCTTCACTGGCTTCCCATTGAAGCCCGGGCCCAATTCAAGGTGTTGATTATGACCTATAAAGCCCTAAACGGCTTGGGTCCTGGCTACCTGAACAAGCGCTTACGTCCGTATATGCCCGACCACCCTTTGAGATCTGCGGGAGAGTCCCTTCTCCGGGAACCCTCCACGAAAGAAATTAGGAGAGTAAGTACCCGGAGGAGGGCTTTCTCTGCGGTGGCGCCCAACCTATGGAATTCACTCCCCAAAGAGGTCCGCCTGGCACCGTCGTTACTGGTTTTTCGGCGCCAGGTAAAGACCTTTTTATTTAAACATCATTTCAATTGTTAAAACATATGATCTGGCCAGGGCAACTTCTTCTTCCTTCTCTTTCTCCTCCTATATTTTTATTTACTTAAGTTATACTGATAATTTTAATCTTATATTTGTAAACCAATGTATCTTTTGTACTTTGTATTTAATGGTAATTTATTATGTGCTATTGTATTTCATTGTATTTTATCGTGTTGTAAGCCGCCCCGAGGTTTCGGCAAGGGGCGGCATAGAAATGTAATAATAATAATAATGATGATGATGATGATGATGATGATGATGATGATGATGATGATGTTCCATTTTCCACACTGCAGGATTCCTAGCAGTGAGTGATAAAACAAGAACAGAGAATTGTAACACTAAATTAAAATACTTTAAATCAGATTATGATGACCGAAATGTGGTTGGTTTGTTTAAGTGAGGTATAAATAGTGAGATATAAATATAAAAAGGGCATGGTCCTATGGATATTTAGTCAGAAAACAAGTCCACAAGTTATCAGCTTTCCCCAGCATTCCTCTACAGCTTTGTGGGACTTTTTCTGCCTAAGCATGAATAGGATTTCACTCTAAATGGATAAATATGTCTTCTTCAGAAGGTGCTGGCAAAAGATCTTGCCAATGGCTCCTCTCAGCATGCATTCCAAATGCACACTGCACAAAACAGGCTGCGAAGGTGGCACAGACAAATGTTTTGCTGGAAAGAGAATCACAGCTGAGGTGAGTCTTGAAAACGTGTGACCTTTGGTAGCCACCCCCTAGTCTAGCCACAGACCCCCTGGGCAACCGGAACAGGCCATCACCAAACAATCTCAAAGGACAGGTGAATTCACATTGGAGAATGGGGTCCTTAGGATTTACACATGTGGACTGGAACAAATGTCTTGCAAACCATGGAATGGAGTCAGTGCAGAAAACACAAAGACAGGTGCTCCTAAATTGTTAAAGCTGCAAGGCTTTGGGAAGGATTACAGTTGTTAAAGAGCGATTCCCTGAGACCCGAACCATCCCCTCTTGTTGCCTGTATTCCCCATCCTTCTTTCCCAGCTCCTGACAAAGCAAGCAGAGGAATTACTCTTTCTAAAATCCTCAGCTTTTGTGGTGGCATCCTGGATGTATTCTGCAAAGCTCTCAGAGATGCATCATCACCTCCTGCAGCAATCGACTGCAATTCAGCTCAGAAGGCAATACTCAAAGGTCGACTATCCCAGAACACAGAGGTTCAATTCAAGCACCTTAGCAGGAACAGAAAAAGGGGAAAACAAAACCCTGCATACCAATGCTTCATCTGAATCCCTGCACACCTTTTGTCAACACTTTGCACTTCCCCTGTGCATGTGTGTATGTGAGAGGCAGGCAACACCTCCAAGTGTTTCATCCTTGCAAGCTCGTCAGCATACTCCATGGCAAGTGGTCATGGGAGCTGCGGCCAAACCCCCGGGCAGCACAGATTTCTTATCGTCCCTGGCTAACGCAGGCCTTCTCCCTTCCCGGATGGGCACGGGAACTCTGGAACCTCTTAGGCAGAAGGTAGAGGGATGTCCCACCCTTTACAAAGGGACATGTTGAAGAACGTACCTGACTATATTCTCCGGGGAAGAGCCATTTCCAAGTGATGAAGGGGCAAAATGCAGGCTCATATAGAATTATACCCATCAGCTTCTTTCCGTTATTATGCTCCTTGTCTGAATTTGCTTATGTGACTCTGATGGCAGGGACTAGGTTTAGACAACATGATAACCACACTCAAGGATTGTGTTTGGGCTGGGGCTGGAATCAGTGTTACCTTGCTGGCTGAACCCAGCTGTGCTAACCAACTATGGCTAGTTAACAACAAACATAGAAACAGAGCGAGTCAGAAGGGGCCTCCCTCGCCATCTAGTCTGACCCCCGGCTCCAGCTGGCTCCGCTCACGACATGCCCACCATGTGCACGTCCAACCTATCCTTGGACACCCGCACCGATGGGGCCTCCACCACCTCCGGGGAAACGCATTCCATACCCTCGGGGTCCCGACTGTCAGGAAGTGCTTCCTGGCATCTAAATGGAACCCTGGTTCCCGGAGCTTTGCTCCGTTGGAGCGCGTCCTGCCTTCCTCTGCAGGGGAGAACAGGCCTCTCCCCACCTCCGTGTGACATCCCCTCACATACCTGCATGTCGCCAACAGATCCCCCCTGAGTCTCCTCTTCTCCAGGCTGAAGAGACCCAGCTCCCTCAGTCTCGCCTCATACGGCATCCCCTGCAAACCGGCCACCCACCGTGTGGCTCTACGCTGCACTGACTCCAGCCTGGCTATATCCTTCCTGTAATGAGGGGCCCAAAACTGAGCACAAGACTCCAGTTGCAGGCGCACCAGAGTCGTGTAGAGTGGCAGTAATGTCTCTCTCGATCCAGAAGCCACGCTCATGAACAACTCATGAAGAGAGCCTATGTACGTCAGTGGGTTGTGAAACCACAGATTATCAGTGACTTGTGTTTGTTAGTGCAGCTGGGTTCAGACAGCATGATAACCAGGTTCCAGCAACAATCCACATGCTATGACAACCCGTGACTGTGGGCTCTCACACAACCCCCGTGTATGTGATCCTGCAAAATCCTTTTCTTTACTTAAATGCTTACAATGTGCCCCAAGGCTGCTGGGGCATGCAACAGGTACCTGATGAGGTCCAGCAAAGCGTCGGCGGAGCTGAGCACCACCTTGCCGACCGTGTACTCCTCCTTCTGTGCAGCAGCTCCGGGGTGGATGCTGATCACGAGGATGATCCCAGTCGTGACAGCCAAGAAGGTTGTCCAGAGGTAATACGTAATGGTGATGATCCCCATTTTCCCACAGGCTTTTGAGTCCATGGTGGCCAGTCCAGACATGAGGCTGAAGAGAAGAGGCAGAGAGCGGACAAGGCAGTGGCACTCTGGTAGCCAGATGCATCAGCATCTGCCGTTTCCATGCCACTGGCTTTGCAGCAAAGGAATCTGGGTCATTGGCAGAGGGAAACTGTGCATGCGGGTGGACTATTTCCCCAAAACCCGGTACAGCCCTTCAGCCCCCCTTTTGCCTGCACAACATTTTGGTGTCTCCCGCAAAGTGCTTGTGGGCATTGACAGATCTTTGCATCTCCAGATGTTACTGTATTGCTACGTTTTTAACCTTTGAAAGCAAGCAAGGAAGCAAATCAACAAAAACGCCAGGAGGCTGGCCTGCTGCAGAGCGAAGTCCTGCCCTCTTTCTGTGAATTCCACAGAAGGGGACTGTGCTTGAGCGCCACCCCCAGTGCTTCCTTGGACTTGGGTTCTTGGCCAAGTCTCTTACTCTTCTCAGAGTCTCACCATTTTGCCTCTCGGGGGACTGAGTGTTTTGTGACTGGCTGTGCTCCCCATGGCAACCGTATGAACAAGCAGTTCGCCCTGGCGGCCATTTTATGAGTGCCCGGGACACTCTTAAATTTCCAGACATTGTGTTTCTCTGTGGAAGTGGAATTAGAAGGCCTCTCATCATCATCATCATCATCATCACCACCACCACAATCACTGATAAGCATAATTATTACATACTCCTGGACATAAAGCAATTGAGGCAGAAAAGGGCCTGGGGTGGGGTCCCTTGCAGGGCCAGCCTCCAGGATGGCATCAGAGGTAACAGGCCCACCTCTTCCCGGGACTGTCCGGGTGACCCTCAAAGTCGCCTGGCCCCGCTGCTCCACCTCCTCCTCGCCATCCCAAGCACACCGGAAAGGATGGCAAGAGGCTGCAGAATGGCCTCCTCCGCTTGTCAGAGGCGCGTGGAGGCCTTTTGCAGGCTGAAGCCCAGCTGCGGTTCTGACTGGCCCAGCACTGCCGACCCCTGCCCGGCAGAAGGGGCCCTCCTGGAGGTGCCATGGTGGATCGGACCCGAAGCCGACCGCGTGCAAAGCAAGGACGCCGCCACCGAGTCACTGCACCCCTAGGGCAGCGGTGACTGTCACGGGGAGAAAGGCCTCTGGGAGTTCCTTGCGCAAGTTCATTCCCCCTGGAAAAAACCTGGAGCCTTCACTGGCTCTCCCGGACGAAAGAATCCCCCTCTCAGGCCAACTGCTACGGGCAGGGTCTCTCTGGAGTACCCTTCTCCCAAAGGCTGCCTGGCAATTGCCTCATGAGCTCTAGGGACCGGCTGCATGTTTGCTCCAGAGGCAACCAACATCTTTGCTTCTGCACGGTTTTCGAAAGGCTCACATTTCGAGGGGACAGGGAGCATCTACCATTTCAAGAACTCAGCCTTCACTCGCGTTTCGAATAGGATTTCCTCGCGAGAGAGGAAGAAGTCTGACACCGTCGTTACTGGTTTTTCGGCGCCGGGTAAAGACCTTTTTATTTAAACATCATTTCAATGGTTAAAACGTATGATCAGGCCAGGGCAACTTCTTCTTCCTTCTCTTTCGCCTCCTATATTTTTATTTTATACTGATCATTTTAATTTTATATTTGTCAATCAATGTATTTGTTGTATTTTTATATTTAATGGTAATTTATTATGTACTATTGTATTTCAATGTATTTTATCGTGTTGTAGGCCGCCCCGAGGTTTCGGCAAGGGGCGGCATAGAAATGTTATAATAATAATAATAATAATAATAATAATAATAATAATAATAATAAAGTCTAAAAATGAAAGGAGTGGACAGTGGAAGGAAGCAAGGAAGGCCTGCCCGGACGGCAGCCTCTGGCAGGGTGTCACTTCCAAACCCAGCTTCCTTCTGCCATCGCCAAGCACAGCACAGACCACCAGGGCGGCTGAGGTGGTGGGGCAGCCAGGCAGAGAGGCAGCTTTGGGAGCCTGGATCAGTGACGCATGGGCATTATCTGTGTCAGGTAATCTGCAGCCCTTTTGCAAGATCTAAGCTCTGCGTGCACATTCTGAGCCATGTGATTGTTTGTGTTAAGGGGAAATTGACAGGCAGGCTGATTAAAGCCAGCAGAAAGGTGTGGAGCTGAGAAAAAGCAGCTCCTTCCGAACTAGGGTCTCTCCATGATGCACAACCAAGTAATATTGCACTGAACAAAACAAATCTGGCGGTCTTTGGTGGCCGGCACACACCAGAGGCTGCCTTGTATCAACTTTGACCCCTGGGTCCTCTAACCCAGGATGATCAGGAGTGGCCAGTTCCAGACAAGACCATAACCCCCACTGAAGGACTAAGTATAGGTCATCTTTGAACCATAAGTTGTTATTGAACTGTGTGGCACTGAACTGTGGCCTTTATTGAAACATGAGTTCCCATGTGTTCTGAATCTAGCTTCACTAACAGGCCGTGGTAGCTAACCATGAACAAACTACAAAGAGCACCCCTGGTTTCTTGCTGGGTTGCAAACCGTGGGGACTTTTGTTGTCAACAAACCATGCTTTCTTAATGCAACCGGGTTCAGACAACCTGATAACCCTCGTTTCCGGAACAACCCTGGCTCAACAACGAGCCACACTCGACCCTTATGCAGCCCTTGCATGTGGGTTGCCTGAACCCCCTCACTAACTCTCCAGCATTTCAGGTAGGAGCTACAGGTCTCCAATGTTTCACGCGGAGAAGGATCTACAGCCGCAGCACCTCCCAGGCATTCTCCTTTAACTAGAGGTAAAGTCAAAGTCACCCCGTTGTATGCGAAGAATCGCTGAGCTATGGCCCCTGAGCCCATCAAACTCGGGGCTGTCCACTCAGACCAGCAACAACAGCTGTCCAGACTCCAGGCAGGCATTTCCAAGCCCAGCGAACGGAAAATGTTCCGCAAGCAGGGCAGGGCTGCCACAACCCGCTTCAACTTTCTCCCCTTGCCAATGATGCCACCAAACTGGGGACGACGAGACTGAAACAGCAGTGTGGCTGACACCAGACCGGTAGAATAAGCTGAAAGAAATTGTCCTGGGGGTGGAAAAGCGCAGGTGTACCTGCGGGGAGGTTCAGCTCCTTCCTCACACTTGTCCATAGTGCGCACAACTGCAAACAGACACCCCACCCTCCTGCAAATGTTCTTTTGCATCACACTGCCAGCTTCCTCTCAAGTGACGCTAATTCTGCCAAGACTAGTCTGCCGTGTCTCTGCCTGCCCTCCTCAGTTCCCAGGCCCCATCTTCCCCCTCCAAAGCGATCGTGTCCCCCAGTCCCTGGAATGCCAGCAACAACCACAGTCAACATCTGCAGAGGTCCTGACACCAGAAACACGGCCTCTTTCCCCGACTGTGTGGCACAGGCAGCAAGCAGACGGAGGCAGCTGCTTGGGCAAGAGGGGGGCAGTTGTGCGTCTTGGCCACGCAAAAGCACCCATCTGGCCACAGCGGGGTGTGAGAGGGGCCATGAGGGGCCAATATTGCAGGGCTTCCTTGCCTGCGCCTCCCTGTGGGATCCTGCGAATCAGGGGAGGTGGCAGCAGGGGGCAGCCTGGTGGGAGCACGCACAGTCTCTCCTGCTTCCCAGCAGAAGGATATGGTTTTTGGCTGGAGGCCTGAACAGATCCCTTATTAAAGGACTTTCGGTATGAGACTGAGACGTGCCCAGTTGTGCATAACTCTGAGCTAGCTGAGCCAGCGTTCTCTCTCGCCGGAAGGCAGAATCATAGAAGAATAGCCGTGGAGGGGGTCAGAAGTCCATCAGGACACAAATTCACTCCATCCCACTCAGATGACCATCCAGTGCTTTTCTGAATGTCTCTAGTGAGGGAGAGCCCACCATCAGGTAGTAGGTCGGCAGCCTAAAAATAAATCAAAATAAAATACGGACAGCAACTTAAGTTTCTGCCACCCTTCGCTGACCAGGCACTCTCCATCCATGTTGGACTGTAACACCTATCCCCACCCCCGCCAACACAGTATGGCCAATGCTTGTTGCAGCCCAACACATTTGAAGGGCAGAAGCATGATTAAATGACACGGAGAGGGCCATCGAGGGAAGTCTCCAGGTCCTTACAGATCTATGCTACCGCTAGTATTAGAGGCAGTAAGCCTATGTGCCCTGGTTTCTTGGGGAACATGGGCAGGAGGGTGCCGTTGCACCCTTGCGGGCAGCTTGCTGGCCGCCGTGAAAACAGACTAGATGGACGTTGGCTTGATCCGGCACCAGGGCAATTCGAACGTTTCTGAGTCAGAGAGGATGCTGGTCTAAAGAGTTTCGGTATCGTATTGCATCGTTCTTACATGTTTGTGGCCTGAAGCGATCCAGGCCTAACAACAGAACTATCCACAGAACGCAGGACCAGGCAAGCCTCAGGCTTCTTCGCATATCCTTACAAAAAAGCATCCAGGCCACATGTAGCCAGCCGCTCCCGAGAGGGCTCTCTACAACTTCTCTTTGTACAAGTGTAATTATTCTGTTCCAAAAGAAAAAAAGAAACACCAAGGCGCGAGAGAGTAAAAACTTTTCTTCCCCGTGGGGCAGGCATGCCCTTTCTTGTAATACCCAGTGCAACAAGATCAGGAAAAGGCAAAGCCTGTTTAATTCTCACAAATCAAGTGGTGCGATGACACCTGTCCCGCAGGAGCCAGGAGGGCAGCCTGAACGTCGTCTGCAGGGAATTCAACTCTCGCTCACCAGCTGCACCTGTGCTAGTTCTAGGCCGCACAGCTCCCCATCCCTGTCCTATTCCCAACAGCCCCGTCACTGACCTGGAGGTAATCAGTGGCAAGATTAGCATCTTTAACATCCTCATCAGAAGCTCTCCGGGGAAAGAGAAGTACTGCTTCTCCTACACAGAAAGAAAGCAAACAGGTCAGGCCACAAAGGGGCAGATGGAAGGAAAAGCATGCTATTACATATTACAGACGCACTGCTGGAGCAAAGAGTCTGTGAGGACTGGGAAAAACAGGCGCGGTAGTTTTCTTTGCAGATTTGTCCGGACTTCATGGAGCCGGGTGCCTTGCTAGCACTTTTGGGCCGGCCTGAGCCAGGTAGCGTCACATGCTTTGGAAAGCAGAATGTCCCCAGTGCAAAGACAGCTGTGCCACTTTCACGCATGCCACTGAACAGCCTGCCTGGCCTCTGCCTTCCCAGCTGCTAGCTCGCTTCCATTGGCAGCTCCGTATGTGAGAAAGACAGGAATGGCACTCGTGTTCCAACCTTCCCGTGCCACCTGTCAGCATTCTGATGATTACTGCTGCGTTGCATGCATTTTCAGATGCATTTTCTCCATCCCAAACAATCTCGCCCCCCGTTCTGGCCATGGAGTGCTGCACACCCTTTTCACACATGAATATATCTTTTTTTTTTAGACGTGTTCCTTTGGTCTCTTAACTGGCACTACAACATTACCTAACTTATCACCATAATGCCTCCTCATGCCCATGACGCAATTTGTGGAAGAAAGTTTCTTTTCAGTTTCACTGGTAGAAATAGGAGGAATGTTTTTTGTTGAGGCAGAGAAAGAAAGGGTCTGTTTCTATGCGGTGAGAAGAGATCTGGTGAAAGTTACTAGGGTTCCTCCAATCCCTGTCAACTTCACATGACGGACACCCCTGAAATTGCCAAGGCCATCCCTCAACCTTTTCCCTAATTCCAGCAAAGAGATCTGTGGAACCGATGCCTCTCTTCCCCAAGCGCATCCTTTCATATGGAAGGGAACATGGAGGGTGCGTTGGTGCAATCGGCAGCACACAAGCAAGTGATGAAGAGGTTACACAACCCACCCGTCCCGTTGCTAGCCACACCATGAGGCGCTCCTACCAAAGCCTTCTCAGTGGACAACTGGGTGGATCTGCAACAAGGATAAGCCCCTGAACACAAGAGGACCAAGTTAAGTCAGACCAAGAGTCTGTCGGGTCAGGGGTGCCTAACCTCTTGAAGATCAAGAGCCAAATTCAGTTTTTGAGATGACCCCATGGGCCAAAAATACTGGCGTATTTTACCTTGACACCCATAATAGAAGCCCCGAAACCCTTAAGTCAGAGAAGCACTTGAGCCTTTTAGGATGGGGTGGAGAGGACTGCTGGAGCCAGGGAGCCATCCACAAAAAAATACAGATGGCCCAATTGAGACCTCCAGGGAGACAAATTCAGCTGTGGACCTCAGGCTCAACACACCTGATGAATCCAGTCCAGCATTCGGTTCTCTCCATTCCAACCAGCGGCCTCTGGGCACCCACAAGCAAGACACAAATGTAACAGCACCCTCTTGCCCATGTTCCCCAGCAACTGGTATACATAGGATGCAGCTTATGTTCATGGAGGGAGTGCATTTTCAAGCTTAAAACGCAAAAGCCAGAACTTACTTTATTCTATCACCATCACTAATCCCATAGTTGGAATTAGTAGGAAACACACTCTGGACCTGGTTTTCTCAACAGGGTAGGAAAAGATCTGGAAGTGAGGAACTTGACTTCCTTCTTTCCATCCTTCCTATCTATCTATCTAAAACATTTTTAACGCCTTTATTATTTATTTATTTATTTATTTATTAAAACATTTCTATGCTGCCCCATTCGCCGAAGCCTCGGGGCGGCTCACAACATTAAGTTAAAATACAAACATTAAGTTAAAAGGTTTGTAAAATGCAAACATTAAGTTAAAATACAAAAAATAACAATATAAAATAAGTCGCCCTGGCCAGATAAAATCCAATAATATTAACAATTAAAATGACGCTTAAATAAAAAGGTCTTGGCCTGGCGCCGAAAAACAAATAACGATGGCGCCAGGCGGACCTCTCTGGGGAGCGCATTCCATAGATCAGGCGCCACCTTTGCCATGGTCAGATCACTTTCTCATGAAGTTTGAGCTTGAGGCTGATCTCTCCCTCCGGAAGGGTGTGGACCACATTAAGATGGTCCGTCCCTGGAGTCTTTTGGGTCCCAGGAATCTTATGGATCCCGAGGGCTCTGGGGTATTTTCGGGTAGATAAAGCTGGCACTCCTGTTGATACCCTGGTCGATCGCTCCTAAGCCTCCTCTCCCATCTAGCAGAGCCTGCTCGGCACCATCGTATACGCCTGAGTTGTGAACAATGAAGCGGGCTGGGAGCTGATTAGAGCGCAGGTGGAGAAAATCACGAGAAGAATCTGACGGAACACACTTAAGCGCTCATTATCGAGCCTATGCTGTGGCGGTGAGGGCGGCAAAAAGGCAGCTCTCCACGTCCATTGCTTCCCCACAGTGCAGTCCAGCAGAGCTTTTTCAAGTGGTGTGCGGCATTGCACATGCTGGCCAAAATAAAGACGTGGTGACACTCTCAGCGGCCCGTTGTGATGACTTTGCCCAGAACTTTAAGGAGAAAATCGCTCAGATTCGCCATGAGCTGGACTCCACAACTGATCTGATTCCAGTGCGCCGTCTGGTCCAGTATTATTGGATGAGTATCAGTTATTGCAACCTGAGAAAGTGGACAAGGCTTGGGCTGGTACACCCAACCACCTGTTTACCTGACCCTTGCCTTTCCTGGCTACTTACAAAAGCCAGCCACAGGGTTGGTCCCTGGGTCCAGGAGGTTATCAACATCTCACTGAAGGAGGGCCAGGTCCCTGCCCCTTTAAAGGAGGCAGTAGTCCGGCCGGTCCTAAAGAAGGTGTCCCTGGACCCAGAGGTGGCTGCCAATTATAGACCGGTGACCAACATCCCATTCTTGAACAAGGTGTTGGAGCAGTGATAGGATCGGATGCCATGATCTTAGATTTCTTAATATTGAGTTACAAGCCAACATTTGTGCTCTCCTCTTTCACCCACATCAAGAGCCTCTTTAGTTCCTCTTCAATTTCTGCCATGAGAGTGGTATCATCTGCATATCTGAGGTTGTGGGTATTTCTCTCAGCAATCTTAATTCCAACTGGTGATTCATCCAGCCCCGCCTTTCCCATGATGTGCTCATTTGTATTTTTATATTTAATGGTAATTTATTATGTACTATTGTATTTCAATGTATTTTATCATGTTGTAAGCCGCCCCGAGGTTTCGGCAAGGGGCGGCATAGAAATGCTATAATAATAATAATAATAATAATAATAATAATAATAATAATAATAATAAGCAAAGTTAAATAGGCAGGGTGACAATATACAGCCTTGTCAAACTACTTTCTCAATTAGGAACCAATCAGTAGTTCCGTGTCCAGTTCTCACTGTTGCTTCTTGACCCGCATACAGGTTTCTCAAGAGACCAATAAGATGGTCTGGGACTCCCATCTCTTTAAGAACTTGCCACAATTGGCTGTGATCCACACAATCAAAGGCTTTAGCATAGTCAATGAAGCAGAAGCAGGTGTTTTTCTGAAACTCCTTAGCTTTCTCCATGATCCAGCATATGTTGGCAATGTGATCTCTAGTTCCTCTGCCGCTTCGAAACCCTGCCTGTACTTCTGGTAGTTCTCGGTCCGCATACTGCTGGAGTGTAGCTTGTAGGATTTGGAGCATAACTTTGCTAGCACGTGAAATGAGTGCAATGGTGCGGTAGTTTGAACTTTCTTTGGCATTGCCCTTCTTTGGGATCGGAATGTAAACTGACCTTTTCCAATCCTGTTGAGTTTTCCAAATTTGCTGGCATATTGAGTGTAGCACTTTTACTGCATCGACTTTTAGGATTTTGAATAGCTCAGCTGGAATACTGTCGCCTCCACTGGCTTTGTTGTTGCTCAGACTTCCTAAGGCCCATTTGACTTCGCATTCCAGGATGTCCGGCTCGAGGTCAGTGACCACCCCATCGTGGTTATCAGGGACGTTAAGCTCTTTCTTGTCTAGTTCCTCTGTGTAATCTTCCCACCTCTTCTTAATCTCTTCTGCCTCTGTTAGGTCTCTGCCATTTTTGTCCTTTACCATGCCCATCTTTGCATGAAACGTTCCCTTCATATCTCCAGTTTTTTTGAAGGGACAGGGGGAGTGCAGTGCATCCATATTGGTTCTCCTGGACCTCAGTGGCCTTCAATACCATCGGCCATGATATCTTTCTGGATAGGCTGGCCAGGTTGGGAAAATGGTAGCTCTACATGGCAGTGGTTTCACTCCTACTTGCTTTGCCATGGAGTACCGCAGGGGTCCATTGTGTCCCCTTTGCTGTTTAACGTCTACATGAAACCGCTGGGAGAGGTCATCAGGAGGTTTGGGCTGCGGAGTCACCAGTGCACTGATGATCCCCAGCTCTACCTCTCGTTCACATCTAACCCAGGTGAGGCAGTGGCTGTCCTGAACAGGTGTCTGGCAGAGGTAACGGGCTAGATGAGGGCCAATAAACTGAGACGCTCTCTTATCTGACACAGAGGTCCTTTTGGTGGGTGGTTTGGCTTATCAGGTAAGTGATTTTGGTCCTGTCCTGGATGAGGTTGCGCTCCCTCTAAAGGACAGCATCCACAACTTAAGAGTGCTCTTTGGCCCAAAGCTGTCCCTTTCCAGGTGATAGCAGCAGCGAGGAGTGCCTTCCTTCAGCTGATCCAACAGCTGCATCCTTACCTGGACAAGCACTGCCTAGCAACGATGACACATACCCTGGTAACTTCCTGGTTGGATTACTGTAACATGCTCTATGTGGGGCTGCCCTTGAAAATGCTCCAGATACTTCATTTGGTACAAAATAGAGCTACCAGGTTGCTGAGAGGGGCTGGCTTTTATTCTCATATAGCGCTGGTCCTCTACCAGCTTCACTGGTTCCCAATTGGTCCAGGCCCAATTCAAGTTGCTGGTATTAACCTAGAAAGCCCTAAACAGCTTGGGACCAGGATATCTGAAGGAACATCTCCTCCCCTATATGCCCTCATGCCCCTTAAGATCGGCAGCAGAGGCCTTGCTCCGGGAACCCTCTTTGAAGGATGTACGGAGGGTATCCACCTGCAGGAGGGCCTTCTCTGTGATGGCACCCAGATTATAGAATACACTCACCAGAGAGGTCCGCCAGGAGCCAACTCTCTACTCTTTCCAGCGCCAGGTAAAGACCTGTTTATTTAACCACCATTTTATTTAATACCAATATTTTTAATAGTAAAATTTTTAAAAGTAACATCAATTTTATAGTCATATTTTTTCTTCTTCTTTTTAGTTATGAATTGTAGTTTTGTATTAGTGTTGATTGTTACTGGTATTTTATATTGTTATTTTATCTTTGTAAGCCATCCTGAGGCTCTTTGCACAGGATGGCACAGAAAATGTTAATTAAATTAAAATTCAATTTAAAAAAAATATTTTTGTATTTGTTTAAATCCAGCTTCCCAGCTTTGGGAAGCAGCGCATTCATTGCCTGCCTGACTTTTGCTCTGTAAGGAAGTGGTCCTGAGACCTGTGTTTAAAAACACATCTTATTGTCCTCACAGTGTCAAATGGAAAACCACACGTCTAACCAAAAAACACTTGGCATCCTAACTTGAAAGTAAAAGCAGCTGTGTAAGCTCTCTTGACAGCCCCATTTTAATTAAATAGTCCTTGAATGACAAGGACAAATCAGTCCTCGAATGACATAGAATTTGTCTGCAGACGCAGGAAGGTGCCAGCAAAAGTTGCAGGAATTCACTTAAGGCCCGCTTCCTGCACTGAAGGACATCCTGAAAGCACTGGAGTTTCTCTGAGTGTGTGCAGAGCCCCAGATAAATCCCCCATCCCCAACTACTATCGATTTTGTATTTTATGCATTCTATCTATATCCCACTTTTTTTCCTCCAATGAACTCAGGGTAGCTTACACAATTCCCCTTCTCTCAATCTTATCTTCACGAGAACCTTGACGGTAGGTTGGGCTGTGAGTCCGGGAATGGCTAGAAGTTGCCCGGTCGGCTTTGTGGTTGAGCGGCCGCTAGATCTCCCAAGTCCTGGCCCAGCACTCCCAGCTCTGCAGCACGCTGGCTCTCTTGGCTGAGGAAGCAGGTCTTTCAGCGCTGGCCAGGAAGCCTGTGCCCTGACGCTTTTCTAAGTGTCACGTGCAATGCAGTGCAGGGAGAAAATGCAGGCTCCCTGGAGGGGTAATTGTGCACACACGGCCAATGCGAGCCCGGGAGGGCATCCCTCCTGAGAGGCCACTGCTTTGCTGCCACGAAGTAACCCGCTTAGCTCTGCACTCCTGGCCGTGACGCAAAGGCCCACGATCGAAACGGAGCCTCTAAAGAAAGCACGAGGCTGTGACACAAGCGCAGTGGGCATCACTGCAGGCCACCTGACGGGCTGGACACGGGCAGTGCGCAAGCAAAAGGGAGAGCGATTCTCCAGGTAGTCTGACCTCTGCAATGAACAGCCATAAGCGATGCCTGAAGGTCTGATGGATGCTCTGAGGATAGCAATACAACTGGGAAAGGTGCGGGGCAAAAGGAGGAGAAGACCCATACCTAGTCTGCCTGGCAAAGGTTGAACGTGGAGGGTTGAACACGGGAAGGAATAACGTGATGCCCATCCCAAGCATGCTTTCACAATTCCTACCCATCCCACTGGGGTTTTCTGCTCTGCTTTGGTTTAGGTTGCCAGAAGGGTCAAAAGTATTTCAATGTTATACGTTGTATTTCAATGTATTTTATCATGTTGTAAGCCGCCCCGAGGTTTCGGCAAGGGGCGGCATAGAAATGTTATAATAATAAAATAATAATAATAATAATAAAAAGCCAGCCCTGCAGAGAGAGATGTGCCTCTCATTCACCACTATGTGGGAACCAACTGTTTTGTGAATCGCCGGTGTTAAACTTTCCGAAATCCAAATAGTGCATTCTCTTTACGAGGCCAACTCAAAAGGTGTTACACCTTTTAGATCTTGGAACATTGTAATGGCCAGTACAGCTGCCTTCATGATCAGCACTGGCTGGGTTCAGAGAATATGAGAACATACACTCAACCTATTGTTGAAATGTGGGTTGCCGTGTTGTCTGAACGTAGCCATAATAAAAACCCAGGGTTCCGTGACAACCTACATTGGACCCCTGAGTGTGGGTTATTGCACCGTCTGGATCTGATTCCTGTCAGCCCTTCTCATTTTTATTTCTTTCTGACCTGTATGCCCCCCCCCTCTGCCCCCCAGCTCTCAACCACAAGTCCTGGACACACCCCTGGAATTCTCAAGAATACATCACGATCCCCAGCTGAGAGACTATAATTTACAAGAGCTTATGCCAACTCAGTTTCTTCAGGAGCTGCAGGACTCTTTGTCATTTCCCCTGCAACGGATTACATGGCTATTCCTCTGAAATGGTTATATAAAATGGTAAGAGTTAGTGTGGTGGGAGTGCGGTTAAGATTGCTGGACTAAGACCCAGGAGCTCTGGGTTCTGGCCCCCACTCAGCCATGACACTCATGGGGTGATCTGGGGTGCAGGTGCGTACAGATGCACAGCCAATCTTTTCTCACAGGCTTGTTGTGACAATAAAAGGAGAGGAGGAAAGCCTTGCAAGCCGCCTTGGCTCAGTGCGAGAGAAATACAGGTGGGCATCAATGTACGGGAACCAATTTGCATGTGTGCATGTCTTGGTCTCTCTCTCTCTCTCTCTCTCTCTACCTGCAGACCGCCTTGAAAAAAGAGTACCCTGACCAATTGCAAGCCATTCCCAATCACTAAAGAGCAGCTGTTGACCCAGGAGGAAATAGCAAAAGCTGCCAGTTCTCCACAGATGTTTTGAACCCCAACCCTGATCAGCCTCAGCCAGCGTGGTCAGTCAACAGGAATGCTGGGATTTGTAGCCCAAAGCATCAGGAGAGCGCCTAGGAGGGAAAAGCTGTTCCAGTGCCTCTCCCCCCAGTAAATGAACTGGGAGGCTACCCTTCCCATCCAGTCTGCCCTTGTGCCTTTGGGCTTTATACCCTCTCATTCTGGCCTGGAATCACACCTTGGTGCGTACAAGGAAAGCCAGTGAATTTTCCCCATGGCTGAGATCATGTTCCTCTGGCAGCAAGCCTCCTTCCTCATGAAGGGCACCTTCTGGGCATGTGCAGAGTGTCTTCCTGCTGCTGCAGGACACACCACGTCGTGCCAGGCTGCTCTTGCAAACGCAGCAGCAGCCCTTCCGCATCGGACACCGAACCCACCAGCCACTTACCAGCTCGGACAACTCCAGCGTCCTCAACGAAAATCCCACAATGCATCCTGTCACCACGGAGAGCACGGAGAGGGTCAAGAGGCCATTCCTGCTCCAGAACGCCTGGGTCCCTTTCCAGGCAGTTGCCAGGCTGACGGAAGATGGGCTCAGCAAGGCCTTCTTCAGCTGCTCCCACATGGTGTCTTTCAGGCTGTTATCAAGATCAGTGGGGAAGTGGAGAGCACGGTGGCCGAGCCGAGATCCCAAAGTTCACGGGGCATCATTTGGGTGCATCCAAGCCGAGCGGCATGATGGCTCACCGCTGGATCACAGTCCACCCGGAGGCAGGAGCAGCAAGAGCAGAAAAGACTTGCTCCTTTACTGCTGGATAATCTCCACAAAGGATCATGCCAGGGCACATGGCTATCTGGTCCCCTTTCAGCTTAATGGAAAGTGACATGTTCGCTGAGGTGCTAATCCAGGCATACCTTTGCGCAAAGCAAGAGGAAGTCATCTTAAGTCTGCTGCAGCAAAAGCAACAGTCTTTCCATGACGCTGCACTTAACCGATTGACCAGGCAAGCTGTCGACACAAACCAATTCTGTGTTCTAGTGGCAGCAGGAGAGGACCACACTGCACATGCTCAGAGGCAGTTTTTAGAATTGTTTCACATTTTCCAGGGCTGATTCTAAAGAAGGATCCATGCTAGCATAGACTCCTTTCATTTATTTCTATACAAAAACAAAAACAGAACAAAACCCTGCACCAATATTTAAGTAAATAGAAGTGGCCTGTTGACTCAAGAGTACATTGGAACTAAAGCCATGGCTACTAAGTTAAGCAGAAATTGCAGGCTTACAGCACAGGCCAATATATTTTTATTCAGAAGCGAAGGAAGTAACTCAGTGATTAAGAAACAGAGAGACAGACAACTGAGCCATGAAGCCTGTCTGAAGGAACATGGAGGGGAGAAAAAGATAAATGGCTTTGAAGAAAGTGTGCTACTTCCTGTCTCATCCCCCCGGTAGTTTTATGAGATAGGGAGTTGTAGAGCAAGGTGAAGTTAGAGAGGAGTGAACGAGCGAACTTGAAGTTATAAGCACACAAGCACAATAGGTTGATGAATATTAACTCACACACCTTGAATAGACAATGGGATAATTATAATGCACATGTGATGTATGTAGTGCGATGAGATGAGAGATATGAAGTAGGCGGCTGGAAAGACTGTCACCTCCTAGTATTTTACCCAAAGAGGGAAAGGGGGAGGACTGCGGCTGAGGAGTTGAAGGGCAAAAGAAGCTGTTTTGTGTGTGTGTACTTTGGAAAGCCTTTGATTGTGAGGATCACAACAAATTGTGGCAAGTCCTTGAAGAGATGGGAGTACCAGACCATCTTATTTGTCTCTTGAGAAACCTATATGCGGATCAAGAAGCAACAGTGAGAACTGGACACGGAACTACCGATTGGTTCAAAACTGAGAAAGGAGTTCGGCAAGGCTGTATCCTGTCGTCCTGCCTATTTAATTTATACGCAGAGCACATCATGAGAAAAGCGGGGCTGGATGAATCACCAGTTGGAATTAAGATTGCCGGGAGAAATATCAGCAACCTCAGATATGCAGATACCACTCTAAAGAGCCTCTTGATGCGGTTGAAGGAGAAGAGTGCCAAAGCTGGCTTGAAACTCAACATTAAGAAAACTAAGATCAAGGCATCCGGCCCTCTCACTTCCTGGCAAACAGATGGGGAAGAAATGGAGGTAGTGACAGATTTTATTTTCCTGGGCTCCAAGATCACCGCAGACGGGGACTGCAGCCAAGAAATTAAAAGACGCTTGCTCCTGGGGAGGAAAGCTATGGCTAATCTAGACAGCATACTAAAAAGCAGAGACATCACCCTGCCGACAAAAGTGCGTATAGTCAAGGCGATGGTTTTCCCAGTTGCAATGTATGGCTGTGAAAGCTGGACCATAAGGAAGGCTGAGTGCCGAAGGATTGAGGCCGTTGAATTGTGGTGCTGGAGGAGACTCCTGCGAGTCCCTTGGACCGCGAGGCGATCCAAACGGTCAGTCCCGGAGGAGATCAACCCTGACTGCTCTTTGAAGGCCAGATCCTGAAGATGAAACTCAAATACTTTGGCCATGTCAAGGGAAAGAAGGACTCCCTGGAGAAGAGCCTAACAACTGACGCAAAACAAGAAGGGGACGACAGAGTGGCCCCCATTGGCTAAGCCCACCGGGCAGCGCTTGTTTTTCCCCGCAGAAAAACTAAGGGAAATAGGTGGGTTTTATTGGCAGGCCCACGCTAATAAATATGGAACACGTGTCTTGGAGGCTGGGATTCGCGCTCCAGCTCCTCCGCAGGGCATCTGAAATACACGATCTCCACCCAACGCAGCTCAGCCAGACTCAGGAGCGAGAGGAGGGCTGCGGGCGTCTCAGGCGCGCTGAACTACAACTCCCACAATCCTTCGAGAAGGCCAGGCCAGCAGCAGCAGCGGGGCATGGGCGGCCATGGGCTCAGCGCAGGCGCACTACAGCAGCCAAGATGGCGGCGGCAGCGCCGGGGGAGGCCAGCGTGGCGGCCGGTGAGGAACCCGAGATGGCGCCGGCGCCGGCGCCTCCGTCCGCGACTCGGCCGGCGCGACTCCCGCTCTCCCGGATAAAAGCGCTGGTGAAGGCCGACCCAGACGTCAGCCTGGCCAGCCAGGAGGCCGTCTTCGCCATAGCTCGCGCCGCGGTGAGCCACTCCGTGCTGAGCAAGGGGGCGTGGCCGTGGCGTTCCCCGCGGCCAATCAGGAGGACGCCTTAGGCGCGTGGGCGCGCTGGAGCGGCCCATTCGGAGGGAGGGGAACTGCAATGGCCAATCGGAACGCCACCAGCTCAAGTCTCTCGGGCGCGGAAGAGCTCGCTGCGGCGAAGGCTCTCTCGTTGGCGGGGGACGTGCTGCCGTTTCGGCCAATCTGGTAGCCCTTTCGAGCCCTGGGAGGGAGGGGCTTATCCTGGTCCAGCAAATCGGGGCCTGGATTCTCCAATGCTTGGTGCGCCCGCGACGTAAATTGGTTGGGGGGCGGGGTTTCGCACCTGGCCAATCAAGAAGGGTTTTTAGATTTGGCGGGAGAGGCAGCGGGCGTGGCCAAGGCGCGTTACGTCACCACCCGCGGTGCTCGTTAGAATTTCGTTATTATGGGCATTATTATTATTATTATTA